ACTAAAGCATCAGGGCAGTAGGAGACCTTGGTGTAAGTACCAAGCACTAAATGTGTTCAATAAGGTGAATTGCAAGGAGATCAGGTAGAGAAATACATAGTAAGAGCTAGTTAGACATGTTAGGGTGTTATAGGTGTAAGGAGAGGAGGTGCTCTCTGAAGAGATGAGTCTTCAAGAGATTCTTGAGGATAGAGAGGGATGCCCCTGCTCTGATAGCATTCAGTAGCTTGTTCCACCATCGGGGAACCACATACCAGAACAGTCTGGACTGAGACTGTCTTGTGTGCAGGGATGGTGATGCCTGATGACATTCCTTTGAGGAACAAAGAGGCCAAGATGGAGCATCAGGCTGAATGACTGAGTTCAATTGGTGCAGACCCAGAATTCATTCTGAGGCAGCATTAGAGACTGAATATGATTTGGGTGGCCATGGGTAGACATTGGAGGTCAGTGATATGTGACATAACTGATCAAAGACCAGACACATTCTGAAACATCTGTAAGGGTTTCACTGCGTGAAGGAAGGCCCACTAGAGGGGCATTGCACTGGTTGAGGTGAGAGACAGCCATGGATTGTGCCAATAGTTGGGTGACGTACAGAATCAAGTAAGGCCTGATTTTTCTAATATTGTATAGAGCAAAGTGACACGACCAAGAGACGGATGCAACATGGTCAGAGAAAAATAATTACTCATCAAACATAATGCCCAGGTTTCTCACAATCTTGGTTTGGTTTAAGAGATGAAGAGGGGATTTTGATGTTGACATTATGTTGGAGAGACTGACTGCCGCAATGACTAAGAGTTCAGTCTTAGAGAGGTTTAACTGAAGGTGACGTTCCCTCATCCATGTGGATATGTCAAAGAGGAAGGCCGAGATCCATGCCAAGACCGTGGGGTCATCTGGTGGGAATAACAGGAATAGTTGGGTGTCATCTGTATAGCAGTGCAATGATAAGCCATGCAAGTTGATAATTAGACCCAAGAAGGTGGTGTATATTGCAAACAGGGGCCCCAGTACTGATCCTTGGGGAAATCCTGTAGGAATTGGATGGGATAAGGATGTTTGTCTTAGCCTTGACACACTGAGGGAGTGCCCAGTGAGTTAGGAATCAAACCAAGAAAGAGATTTGTCCGAGATGCCCATGTCGGAGAGTACACAGAGCAGGATGTGGATGTGCCGCCAGCCCCCCAAAACTGCAAAAAGTAATCTGGTAAAGTTAATAGAGGTATGGATAATTTGCAGTCATGATCATTTGAATGGCCACATTCATTTACTTAACCTTTATTTAAACAGGGGGGGCATTGAGAGCAAACCCTCTTTTCCAAGGATGCCCGAAAGAAAATACACTGATAAAGATGGTGCTGTCAGATTAAACAGAGCAGAGACGAGTTCAAAGTCTAAATGAAATGCTGATACTCTCATTAGCACATCCATATGTTTGGGAGGTTAGTGTTATTCTAATATTCCCACGAGTCATGAAACTTAATCAACATGCAAATGAACACATCAACTTTCAATCATGTATTTCATTATCATCCGATACATGAAAGAGGGTGTGTCAGCATTTTACAGACAAAACATCATGACATGGATGTCATTTGTGGCTCAGGAGGTAGAGCAGGTCATCCACTAATTAGAAGGTTGGTGATTTGATCCCCAACTCCTCTGGGCTGCATCTTTGGGCAAGATACTGAACCCCACATTTCCCCTGATGGCTGTTCCATCAGTGTAGGTGCGTTTAAGTGTGTTGTATGAATATGACTGTGAATGAGGCGAGTATTATAAAGCGCTTTGAGTGGTCAGTAAGACTCAAAGAGTGCTATATTAGTGCAAGTCCATTTACCAGTTCATTTCAACATGTGCACATGTGCATGTATTATTAAAAATGTTATTTTTAAATATGATGGGACAGAATGAACAGAACAATGTAGAAAACTTAATGAATGGAAGTAAGGAGAGATGAAAGGAGCTTAAGAGTGAGAAAATACACCAGAGGTGCAAGAAGGGAAAAAAAAGGTGTACTGAGGAATAAATGATCGAATACAGACAGGAATCGAGGAGCAGATACAGAGTGATGGATAGAGACAGTGAAGAAAAGAATGATGGTGGGATGTGATCCATAGTGTCAGGAAAAAGACAGAGGAAAAAAGTTTTAGAGACTGACTGTATGGAGAGAGGGGTGATGGAGGGAAAGAAAAAGGAAGTGATGCAATTGAAATGAGAAGCACTTTCAGTCAAGAATAGAGTAATGGAAGGACGGAAGAGAGGGTGACAGAGATGGAGAAGTGCTTGTGGTTTGAAAAAGAGCTGTCTTGCATTTTTCCTCACACTGAGCTGGTCTGACTAAACAACTTCAATCTGTTCTGAGACTCAGCATCTTTCTACTGCAACATTTGTCTGAGGATAATCTCATACAAGTAAACATTTTTAAGTATACTGTATACATTATAATTGATACACAAACATCCATAATTTGGTCATATGTAAACTATTGACCTCACCGCTTTGTCACACCAGTGTTCAATCAAAGTCCATAGGTTGTCTGTGAAAGCAGCATTTTCAATGAGCCCACATCTGGATGACTAAAACCATGTCACCAATTAATCATTAGCTTGCTGCAAGTGACACGCTCAAAACCCAACAACAGCTGAATAGATGGATGAAGCACAGCACTCTTGTTCATGTCACTTACAATTACTATCCATTGAATAAACGTTTGTTAAAATCACACTGGAACAGATGTGTAAATCATAAGAATAACGCAAATGAATAAAACAATGTAAATGTAAATGAATACAACTAAATTTCTGCACCTTACCTGACCTTTCATTACTTTTACTTCTCCCAGACCACAGGCTGTTAGATGGGCCGTTCTCAGGCAAAGGTCAAACCCACTGAAAAAGTAATCCAAAAGTAAAATCTGTCTTCTTTGATTGTACCAGGTAGAAGTGGTAAACTGAATCATCTGGAAAAAAGAGGAGATAGAGGAATTTAATTCATAAAGCTGGAAAATAGCCAAATACCAAAACTCTCAGAAACTGATCAAAGTGAAAGCCTCTTAGCCGCTAACCCAAAGAAACTTTTCAGTTTGTTTGCGTTGCCATCTCAGCTAATTTCTTCTTAAAACATCTAACTTAAAAATATTCCAGATGTTTAGAACAAATCTACAACAACAGTGTTAAAGTTCCCATATTTTCCTCTTCTCCTGTGTTTTATTTGAAGTGTAGATGAAGATATAATATATTATATATAGATATATTTGTTGTTTTAAGAAGCAAAAACCATCTCAATGTATTTTTAAATCTCCTCTCTAAGGTTTCTCTCTGGAGCTCAAGTAACAAGAGGTAAGTGAGCGAATCAGAAGAGAAGAGGCTCTAAGCCTCTCTTCTGATTCACTGACTGTTAGCCAATCTAATAAAAATATAGCAGTTTTCAGGTAAAAAACTCCAAAACCAAATCCTGCAATGGTGGGTGGTGGGTAGAGGTGGGCGGGGCTTGGGGTGTGGTTTAGGGCAGTGATTGCTTTGTTGTGTTCCACAAGTCCTGACGACTGGTTTTAAGGCTCAGTTTCTGAATACAGGCTGTGTGCATTTCTCTGTGGACTGAGGCTTTGATACTTTCACAGTATTAACATAGAACCTGAACTATAATCACACTACACATGGACATCTACCTTAATACTATATGAACATTTATCAGACAACTTTGCACATTTGTTGCTAGAAAGTGACTGCTGGTTAACAGTTTTAATGGGCCACGTTTCAGTCACTGTTTCAAACTTATTGCATTATCACAATAGAAACAGAAAAAACATGTGAATGAAAAGAGCTTTATTGTGAATTCAGCTGTATTATAGTATTATATGTGAGCACAGAGAGGAGGAGAGAACAGATAAAGAGCTCAAACCAGCTTACACTAGACTGAAACCAGCTGATACTAGACTGAAACCGGCTTACACTAGGCTGAAACCGGCTGATACTTGACTGAAACCAGCTGACACTAGACTGAAACCAGCTGATACTAGACTGAAACCAGCTGATGCTAGACTGAAACCACCTGATATTAGACTGAAACCAGCTGAGACTAAACTGAAACCAGATGATATTAGATTGAAACTAGCTGACACTTGACTGAAACCAGCTGACACTAGACTGAATGATGATACGTCCATACATAGTCCAGCCTTAAACTGTAGTTTTGTTTGATGAGTAACTACCTCACGGTGAACACCAATAAACTTTACATTACTTCATCCACCTGTCACTTGATTGAACTTATTTGAGATTTGAAATATTCTCATTTAAATGAAAAATTTGTGAATTCCAGTTGTTGCTCATTACAGCCTGAATATCTTCTGTGCTCACATTGCCATCATCATACAGACTCTTCAATTACCCACTGACATTTGAGTGTAGTCTCAGTCAGCTTTTGAATTCTCCTGATCACTTCTACTGAATTTATCTCATTCCATTACATCTCTCCATTACTTCCTCACATTTAGCTTCATATCCTGCAGTTACGAGTACATGTGCAGACTTCCTGCTCTGTATTCTGTGCTGCAGTTGAAGCACAGTCTGAATATTTCAGTACCGTAAATAAAAGAGCGTGTCTCTTCCCGCTGTTATTTGCAATCGACCTTCCTCCAGTCACTCAGCATTTAACTCAGAGGAACTTTTTTTAGAGAGTAGGTACATGTGAGAGTCTACAAACATGCATGAATGTGTGTGTGTCATCCAGGTATTACTCATGTTGTGGGGACCTGTTAGATAATGGGGACTTATGAGGACAAAAAACAAATCCCCATTATGTAAAATCATTATATAAATCATACTTACACACACACGCACACACAAACACACACACACATAAATCATTACATTTTCAGGTTACAGTAAGGGTAGGGCTAGGCAAAAGTTAAGTTTAGGTTAGGGTTACATTATGTTAGAGGATTAGCGTAAGGGTTATGGTTATTAGTCAATGTAACATCCTCTGAAGTCATGAAGAAATTACTGTGTTCGTGTGTGTGTGTGTGTGTGTGTGTGTGTGTGTGTGTGTGTGTGTGTGTGTGTGTGTGTGTGTGTGTTGGCATGGTATTCTTTTGCATATGTCTTTCCTGTTTGTGTGCATTTTCCTTTTTCTCCTTGTATGAATTTATTCAGGGCTCAGCTGAGCTGAGCTAAATGTACAAACCGAACAGAGAGAAATCAATATCAATGTAAATGTATTCCTTTATTGCCTTGGCTGGAACAGTTGCTTTAGTCTCATTTTTATGCAGAAAAACATCCATGAAACTCATGAAGTGAGACAGACAGCCACACACAGCATAATTTGTGTTCTTTAATGTTCTGCTCAGATTATAATCACGACAGTGCAGCAAGCCTAATTGATGATATAAGTACTGTTTACTTTCATTTTCCCTGTTCAACCTACTCAGCAGAAAGAAACACAGGCTGCACCAGCAAACACTAAAACTCTTTTCCTCTTTCCTTTTTCCTGCCACTTTCACCCCCTGCATCACCCAATCCCCCCAGTTTCCCTTGTTTATATATCTTCTTTTCCTCTCTCTTATGGAGCATTTATTATAATTCAGTTTTTTTCCTGGAAACTCATCTGGAAAGTTTGGGAAAGCAAGCCTGCAAATAAAAGTTTAGAAACTTTAGAAACAGTTATCTTACATATAGTATGACTGAATTATCTTCATTCACAGCAGTGGGGAGGAAAGGTGATAACAACAAAACCTGTCAATCAAATCAACGAACAGTGATTAGAGTTTTTACTTTGAAACTCAGTGGGAACAACAAGCTACATGACCTGACTCCTACTTTTGTTTCTCTTTTATCTGTTGCAACAGGAGAGCAGCCATGGACTTCATCTCCACGCTGGTCTGCCCTCTCCTCCTCTTCTTTGTCCTCCTGTCCTCCCTCCCCTCCTGTTCCTCCTCCATGCTGTGTCCAAAGCGGTGCACCTGCCAGAACCTGCTGCCGTCCTACACCGTGCTGTGTGCCAAGACGGGCCTCCTCTTTGTCCCACCCAACATCGACCGCCAGACAGCCGAGCTCCGGCTAATGGACAATTTCATCACAACGCTGAGACACCGCGACTTCGCCAACATGTCCAGCCTGGTCAGAACTCACTTCTCTAAACACCTTTAAGTGATCCCGTGTTGTATGCCTCCGGCTGTGGATGTTGCCGGCACGGAGGCATACTGTTTTCGGCTTGTCGGTCCATCCCAGGCTCATGGACAACAATATCTCAGTAACACCTTGGCAAAACTTTAGATTTGGCTCAAACGTTCACTTGGAGTCAAGGATGAACTGATTAGATTTTGGTGGTCAAAGGTCAAGGTCAATGTCACCTCACAAAACACTTTTAGCCATTATTAAAAGACTTCACAGCAATTAAGACAAAAATTTCACACAAATGATTCATATTTTATATGACTCAACAAAACAGGGATGTAACCTGAAACTAGTCTGCTGTTTTAGATGTGTAGCTCATTTTAGAGATAAACACAGCTAATGGAACATATAAATTATATAAAAGCTTATGTTACTGATGTGCTGGGTATTTAACTGGGCTGCATATACAACTCACCCTTTTGTTTAAATAAATCATGACTACCCCGGCTTCAGAGTTTAGCCCTCGTACACGCAGCTTTACCAAAGATGACACAGTGATATGTCAGATTTGTTGACACAAGATTTTAGATGCTACAGGTCCTACATTCAGAGATCTCCCAGCCAGCCTATAAGAAACAGAAATAAGAGCTAAGCTAAAATATATAGGAAGCTGCAAGGAAATGCTAAAAACCAGCTTTGACCACTCAGAAGAAGGCGTCTTTCATGTGTCTTTTAATGTGTGATTTTTGGTCTCAGACATCAGTCCAGCACTTTTGAGAGGACACAGTGGAGCCCACTTACATGCTAATCAAAGTAAATTAAGTTAGCTCACAGGGTATAAGCTCATGCCAGTGCCTGCTGCTCATTTTGGTCCAACAAGTCACAGCTGTGTCTGGCCAGACTGAAGGAGAAGTGACCTGCCAGAAAAAAAAAATAAAAACACTAGCAGCAGCTCATTAGCTTGTTTTTCAGCAGGCTTGTATCTTTTTTAATAATTTGTATGTAGAATTACACTTAGACTGGGAAATTCTACAGCTCACAAGTTACAGCTGATAGACTAGGTAGTGAGGTTTAATAGTAATATCAGGGTGGAGGATGGTTTAGTAAAATGTTCGTTTTTTTATACGATACTTCCTTAACCGTAACTGCACCATGTGCAGCTTTTAAAGTAACATAAAGGTGCTCGGACTGTTTTAAAGATTTTGTTTCCTAAATTGTTTTGATCCAGATGCCTCTTTTGCTGCTGTGCATTTTTGTTTGCCACCTGCTGGTTGTGAGATCTCAATTGTTCCTTTCAATGTGTTATATCCCAAAAATGATTTGCAAGCTTTTTCCAAATATGTTGCGCATGCAGTAACCACGGAAACAACTGCACTTACAGCCATTATCAGCAGGGATCCAGTCGCAGAGTTGCAGCCACTGTGCTGCTGCCACAGTGACTGCTCTGTCTCTGAGAATTGCGGTCACAGAACATTTTTAATATATTTATTTATCCAGTTATCTCCACCAGCAGTAAAGTATAACCCATATTTGTAAGCACAAGATAACTGTTGAACAACACTATTAAATGGCATTCTGGGAAATGTTGGACATCACTATTTGAAATATAAGGCTGAGTGAAGAGGGTACACCAGCAGAGTAAACTGCATCACTTAAATTCAAAATAACTTTTGGAAGAAGCTAAACATCACAGATTAAAGCTTTTTTTAGTATTCAGCATTCTTAGTAAAGAAAAGTGTTCAGCTTTTACTCCTGCCAGGAACATGCAAAACAGTGAGGAGAGATTTCATGTTTACTTGCACTGAAAACAGAAATCATTACAGGAACATCTGCTACCTCCAACATAACATACTGACTGAGGTGACATGTATGATATCTGACAGATTTCGCCTCCACCGTAATCATGTAACGGAGGTGGAGAGGCTTCAGTGCACGCGGCACAAAAAGAGAAACACCAGCATCATCGAGATTTAAATGCCAAATAGAAAAACTCGTCACAGCTGGAGACTTCCTTAATGTGCGAAAAATAAGTTTCTTCTCCTGTGTCATTACAACAGCGCACAGATGATGTTTGCTAACACACAAGGCAATGTGGGAAATTAGGTTTTAATTATTTTGTAGCGGGCGTAACAGAGTGCCACAGATGTCTCCGGTGATCATGGTGCATCTCCAAAACAGGTTTACAAATGTGTGGGTGCTGATTGACCCTTTCTTGGGTGTTAATAGAAAATATTTCTGCACCTTCACACTCGTAGTAATCCACATATTTAGTAACTCCTGACCTCAGCAGTGTGTTTTCTAAATGTCTCATTACCTTTTAATGAAGCCCAAACTTAACTTTTAAATAATTTTATCTGTAATTCCATGTCTGAACTGACCCCCAGTACTCTACTATTAATTACTATGATTATTATTAATGAAGACAGGGGAAAGGGTGACTGAGTGTTTGAAGGCCATCCTGTAACCTGACTGCTGATTTAATCCCCACAGCCCTGAGTGTCCAACTTGCTGAACCACATTTTCTAACAAAACATTGAACCTTTGTTATCTCCAGAGTGCTGGCTCATCTGCTAACCCTGACCTTTGACCTCCCTGCACAGGAGGACAGAAAGAGTGTTACTCTAAAAACAGGATATATTTCGCAAAAGTGAAATCTAAATAAATTATTGCTGGTATAAAATTAAATAATCTTACAGAGCTTTAAAAGGAATAGGAAGAGAAAGTAAGTAACAGAGAAACAGAACGACAAAGTTGGCCCGGTATTTTCAGGGAAAATGCTCTACAACATTAACTTTATCTTTCCCTGCATATCCAGATCCACCTGACCCTGAGCAGAAACACCATCAGTCAGATTCGGCCGTACGCCTTCGCTGACCTCCAGGATCTCCACGCTCTCCATCTGGACGCCAACCGCCTCACGATCCTGGATGACTCCCACTTCCAGGGCCTGGTGAACCTGAGGCACCTCATCCTGGCCAACAACCAGCTGCACAGCATATCAGAGGGAGCATTTCAGGTACAATTCCTTTTCCTGAACCCACTGTCACTCTTACTGTCACATGTGACGTCAAGAACAACACGTGATAATAAAACAAAGGCCGCACTGTTTCATGCAAATACATGTGCTACTGCTGTTACTACTAAAACTAGTGCTAATACTATACAAGTGTCACTGCTACTACTATTCTTTTCTTTTAATTTTATTACTTTAGTACTACTTTAGTAACTACTTTTAACTTTACAACTATTGTTGCTATTACAACCACAGTAGTACC